TGTGTGTGGTGTGGTGTGTGTGTGTGTGTGTGTGTGTGTGTGTGTGTGTGTGTGTCCATCGGGAGGGGAGAGACCATACTCCTATAAATACTTGGAGGTAAAGTCATCAGGAAACATAGCAGACATCCACCTTTTAAATATGTTGACCATAGCTACACAGGGCAGCTGCCAGAAGCTGGCTGTAAGTATATGTGAGGCTTCATTCTTAAGCTAACTGACCTTATCTGAAGACGCATGTATTAAAAACAACAAACATCAAAGGAAGTCTCGCTAACTCCTTGTCATCCTAAACAAAGTTTCCTCTGAAGTTCAGATTTGTTCCATGGCCTAGGAGGGATTTCATTGTTAAGTCTGAGAGCAAAGTAATATTTCTGTGGCTGAAGCAGAAACAAAACAGCTCAAGCTAAAAGGCACATCTTATTTCCAAGAATGTGTTGACTTTCCTTCTCCCTTCCTCTGCCACTCACAACGCTGCTTTGTTTGAAGGACAGTCAATGCCAAACTAAACCAAAAACCAACATGGAAATTAATATTCCTGTGGCCACACCACCTTGTACCAGTGCCTCCTGCCTCATTACACCCGCTTTCTCCCTGCCGTGCCACCAAATCCAAAAGTTCAGTTTAGTTAAAATCTAGGCTGGGGTCTGGATCCTAAACCAAATTGATAGTTAATCCCATCTAAAACAGCTTAAGATACACTTCTTTAGGCCACAAGATAAATGTACTCCTTCAAGTACTGTTGACTGCCGTAGTGGGCACCATGTGCCAACCACTGCTGCTGTGCCCTTGATACCCTAGATCCTATCTACATCACAAACTACCTATTATGACCTCAAACCTACTACTCTCCTCATTTTCCAGATGAAACCCCAGGTTCAAAGAGACTGGGTAACTTGCCCAAGATTAAGCCCCGCATACCTCTGCTTCCTTCATCAGACACAGGGCACACTCTGAAATGAGACATAACTAATACAAAAACAAACAGCTATCTTGACTCAGATGGAGCCAAGATTGTTCCTGCTCAGACTTTGAATCACAAATAGGTGCTCTGCAGAGTCCCTGGAGGGCCTGCTGCCTCCAGTCCCACCTTGCTCTTAGAGAGGCAGAAGTTTCCGTTTTGCTTTTGCCTTGGCTTCTAACAGTCCAATCACTTACACAGAAACACTAATCTCCAAGTGATAAGGCAGACTCCAACCTTTTTTCTTTTTCTAGTTCAGTCTGTTATTTTTCTCCACATTTTGGGCAAGAAGAGTATCCTTGATGCCAACAAATGTAAGAAAATATTTTCCCTAACTATTTTTGCTACTTGTGTTGCATTCAACGTTTAGTAGAGATTAGCGTCTCTTTCCTATCAAATTCCTGTAACCTTCAAGATTAGGTTTAAATGGTTTTCTTTGCCAGACATCAGGCATGGGAAACAGCATAAACAAGAGGTCACTTTTAAGTCAGATGTCCTCTGTGGTACCCCAATCCCTTACCCCTATGAAACCCTCAAAAGAAATCTTAATGTATTTGCCAGTGCCTTGCCAGCATGAATTAATCGTCTGCTGCACACCAAGCCCAGTGAGCAAGGCTTGCTCCGTATTCCCCGCCAACCTTTGAACATTAAAGCTAGTTCCCCTACACAAAGTCTACCTGCGCGCACGCGCCCCGACTCAGTGACAATGTTCTCCCTCCCACATCCCTGTCGCCTAACATTAGTACTTGTAGGCTGACCACATTCTGATATTAACTTAGACCGTTAGTCGGCTACTGTAGTACCTACTCACCTACTCTACATCCTGCTTCCTAGATGTCCAGATACTAAGGAAGAGCCTGTGGGGCAGGGCCACTGCACCTCCTTTTAAACCCTCTGAGCACCTAGGACATAATGCTTCATTGATGACCTCATCCAGTTTTCAGCCAATCCCTGATTAGCACATGGCTCAATAAGATCGTGGCTGGTCTAGAAGTAACAGCCTGTTTGTTACTCGAGGACTGACTAAATTAAATAAAAACTATCTAAATCATTTTAGTGTTACACTGCCACAAACCAGGGAAATT